AAATAAAAAAAGTCACAGGCCAGACCTGAAGACGTAAACGATAAATATCCCTATGGCAGTGTACCTCCAACGCTGGCAGCATTGCCTCGCTGTATTGCGATATTTATTCGTTGAGCCAGGCAAGTACCAGCTCTGGCGTCACCGGTACTATCTACTAGGCGCCAACTCAAATCTTTAATAAGCGCCTGTGCACTTGAACCCCACGGCCCAAGAGATTCTACTCCAAAGGGAACAAAATCGAAGTTGGATGAAAGACTCTTATATTTGTGCTATGTATTATTAACTAAATTATGTAGGTATTTGTATATCTCATGAGACTGATATTGGTTTCTCATGAGATAGTAAAATGGCTATCTTGAATTTGTTGAGTTTAATAAAAGTATCAGTAGTTTTCAATCTATTTCATAGTCAATGCATGTTTAACGTCATAAAATATTTAAATATCTGTAGACTAAGACGTGCGTCCATTTAAAAGTTATAATTTTTAAGCGGTACTCTGCTAATTGTCAACATGGTGGAACGACACTCAAACGAAGTAGATTCACCTCTTAAGTGCCATCAACTACGGACGTGACTTATGAAGTCTCCACTCCGCGATTACGAGTGTTTATTAACATACTCAACCGCTTGGGGACTAAAAATGTTGTATCTTTACAAAATATTAGAATTTAAATTATTTATTATAACGTACGATATGGTACTAATTTTGTTTGTATTAGTATTCTGTTTATATTATTCTCTAACGTGAGTATTTTATGAGTGCATAGTCTACCAAACCATGGCAGCATCTTAGATGAAGGTGACTATTTCTTTCTAAGTGTAACAAACTGTCCTGGTTGCGAATATTAAATAATAAAATATGTATAAGTATGGAATGAAAGCCATATTCGGTCTTTAAGAGTTGAATAAGTTGATGAGGGCCTATAAATCTACCATAGACTTTCTTCCACAACCAGTCTTTGTTTTCATGCTTGGAATATCCGGATCGTCCGTACAATTGATTCTTAATTCAAAATAATACTAGACTTGTAAAAGTTTACGTTCTCTGTATGGTCTCAGTGCATCAATATGGTTATTAAGATTCATTAGAGTAAGTTAATATTAGCGCCATCTGTTTACTGTTACATGATGTAATTGTACTGTAATCGAGTGCATTTCATGAAATTAATCGTATCGATAGACTTATTCTTATATAGAAAAGTAATAAATGATTTTTTTTAATTACACGGCTACATCATATTTACACGTAACCTGTACCTTTTTATACTTACTTAAAAAGGTCATTCTTTCGTCTTGGATCTACTCAGTACAAATTTGGACTTTCTTTCAAACAGAAACCTCGCTTTGTTTAATTTGGAAGATAAGGAATATCCTAACGTATTATTCCTGAAAGAAATCTCTACAAATTCAACAAAATTTGAATTGAATTAACGTGTGTCTAGTTTTTCGTGAATTTTTGTTGAGTCTTTAGATACTATATTGAACTACTTCCTTACTCTGGAATTCATTGGTTAAACAGTTTACAAAGTATTAATGCACTTTAAATTCTATGATTTGATTCTTGATTCTTATAAGTATGTAAGTATACCAAATTGTGACTATCTCAAAACATACCAAATAATTGAAATCGAAATATGTCTTAAGACCAATAAAAGTATCCAGAAGTTTTGTGCTATATAACTTAGATCCTATGAAGCCACTTTTTACCCTTCATAATTCAACAACTAAGTCTTAATATAAGTAAAGCCGTACATGGAAAGTAATACTCAATAAAACCCCAGAAATACATCCTTTTTTTCATGCCTGACGCCAACTGTTGGTCTACTCTCCGGCTTCCGTAAAAAATCCGCAAGACAAATCCATTAGGTCGTCCAAATTCAAACAAACTACTAACACGAAACGAGGTTTTTAACTAATACTGCTTGATGACCCATGAATTAATAAGTAAAGGGAAACTATAGTGGACCACATAATAGAATTTATTTCAATATGTAAATGTAATCAATGATTTAGATTGCAATAACACGAACAAAGCGTGACAATTTACCGTTTACCTATAAACAGGACTATGGTGCTATCGAATTCGAATTTTCAATTACTTGGCTACGTTAGCGTTAATCTCACGGCTTTGCCTGTTCGATGGCTGTTATCAGTGTAAAAGGTGTATTCGATAGAGGCTGTACTGATTAGATCGCATTTCCTGTTCTAAGGGCCTGTGATTGGCTTGTTTCGAACCCGCTCAGATAAATTGAATTCAGCTAGCCTCTACGAGCTTAAAGAATTTACTCGTAACCTCGTTTATTTTATGAACATATTGAATTAGAACGATCGATTCACGTATAAATTCAAAATTACACGGTAACTGAACACGAACAATTTTCGGTAATTTACTTTAACTACCAAAGTTACCCGATAATGGAAAAGTTAAATAACGAAATCGAGAGCCCTTCGATATATCGTGAATAATTCGGTCGCAATTACCTAGATTGAAATGTAATTATAATGGATCGCCTGTCGATATAATAATTTAATAATTATTGACAAAGATGTTTGACTACGTAGAAAGTTTCGATTGTAGCTTGTCGTATTTATATAATAATACAGTACACCATTAGAATATACACTTTAGTAATAAGTAACAATTATTGCCTATGTATATGGTACCAAAATATATCCTTTATATGTTTTAGTAAGATATGTAATAATTACATACACACACACAAATATATGCTTCATATTTTTCGAGTTCAAACTTATTTATTAGTATTTGTCACGAAAAGTGAGTTACACACTCGCAGTTACAACTCGAGTTACAGAATCGCAAGGCCAGTCTCTGATGCTGATGCAATCTTTGGACATTACATTTATTAAAAGGCTATATTAATCAAAATATGTCCAAGAATGCGCAAGTGACGAAAAAATTATATAAAAGAGCTATATACGCCCTAACAAAATGCAAAACATTTAAAATTAGTATTAATATAGAAAAATATAATAAATTGTACAAGAGAGAATGGTACTGTGCAGTAACGAGGGCTGTTGAACACACTACAGTTGCATAGTTAGTCTAATTGATATTATTTATTCTATAAAAGACATAATTTAAGTATATCTTTTAAAACAACATCTTGAAATATTTATATATACCACCACTTTGTGGAACCAGCTGCCCACTGAAGTATTTCCGAACCAATTCGACTTAGGGTCCTTCAAGAAAAGAGCGTACCAATTCTTGAAAGGCCGGCAACGCACTCGCGAGCCCTCTGGCATTGAGAGTGTCCATGGGCGGCGGTATCACTTAACATCAGGTGAGCCTCCTGCCCGTTTGCCCCCTGTTCTATAAAAAAAATATATATATAAAATAGTAGGACTACAATCATTGGTATTGGCCTCACATTTCTCAAATTTTTTCGTGATCATTTATGAGACCTTAATAGAAAAGTAGACAACTCACACCTTCGAAGAAAAGTCCAACACACGGCTGGGGTTCAAACCTGGGGATGGGATAGGCATGATACCATTAGGTCAACACGTTTAAATGTATGTAGTAGTTAAATATTCATTATTTATATGAACACGACGTGCGCTAAATTATAACGCTCGAAAGTAATGCATTCCGAATGTAGGAAAGCAGGTTGCCACCACAAAATAACATTAAAATGTAGGCGCGCTTAGGAAGTATAATGTAATTCCTACGACTACGCTATGAAAATATTTAATAACACTGTAACTCTTTATTGTGACTGAAAGAGACATTTGTAACATCTTTTTTTTATTTACGTCATTAAAAAGTCTGCACTAAATAAATGAGCAATCACATGGTAAGATTTAGGATTGTGACTTAGCGGTATGACTTTTTAATCCAATACGTTTTGGATGTAGGAAACTCCCAGTATCAACAAACTCGCAGTTTGAGTGATTTTTAAACGGGATTTTGAGTTTGTTTATATTGTTGTATTCGAAATAGAACTATTACAATATGATAACTAGTATTTTCTTCTATATTGGATTGAAAATCTGAAAGTAATGTAGTATTTTACATACAATTTATAATCTATTACCAAAAAATATTTCCATTGAAACCGAGTACTCCCGATTACTTCTTAGAATGGATAAAACATTCTGGTTTTACATCACAATGGTTAGTAAATTTTAAAACTATAAAGTATCCGAAAAAGCTTATCTATTATACACCGTGTGTTACTTCAAGTTATTGAGCTCAAGCCATAAGTTATTTTGGGCGTAATTAATAATTCATCAGTCATCTGTCCCAAAACAATTCATAAATGGGAGTAGATATAAATAAGGACTATCGTAGAAACTTCTCGTTTTGTACAAAGTTTGTTACGCGAACTTGTGTCAGCTGGGTGCGCCCGGGAGTCTTACATGCATGTTTAAAGCACCAGGCAAAGGTCAAGAGCCCAACTAAGGCAGCTAGTGAATACATAATAAGCTCCCTAGTACTCGGTAGCCCCTGACGGCCTCTTTTCTAACTTTGACGAACTAACGTGGCGTGGACAGGTACTTTGTAGTTGTCTCTCAAATAAATTAATTACGTCTCAAAACTAAGCAGTAACAAGGGAGCGAGCGCCTCGAATAAACTTTTGAGAAAGGCACAAAATGAATGCTCCGCTTTCAACAAGTTTAAGTTATAGCGTAAATTAATGATAAATTGGGTCAACGATATTCCACAAATATTTAACTAGGTTCCAACTTTTTTAGGTTCATGATGTTTTTGCTCAGCTGGTATTCTAGTTAATTCACAAGTGTGATACTATAGGTAATATTATTAACGAACTTCCTGTATATAGCAGTAATGTGGCAAATTGTATTAAACTCATAACAATATCGATACAATGATATACATCTTGTATGATATTGGCAATTTTGAGTTTGTTTCAAAAACAATTTTATTAACCAGATATGGAATACAGGTATATTCAACTACGCTAAAACCTACTTATTTCTATCGTACACAATATTCCAGTGTATTAAATTTTTTAAAAAGATACAATAATCTTACCTTTCGGCGGATTGATGTGTAGAGCGCTTCGAAATAAACTTTCCTCGTCACGCCAGTCTAAATTCCTCCGAAGCGTAGCGCCACACATGGCGCATAAAGTCACTAACAAAGTGAACATAAAAATACGGCTTCGCAATTCATTACGACGCCAAGTTCTTGTCAAAGCTCCCGCACCCAGCCCGAGCAATAAGCAAAAACCAACACTGGGAATGTACAAAACACGCTCTGCCACTACGAAGCCAACGTAGAAAAGAATATTACTCGCTGGCACGAACGGGAGCACCATAAATGCCGTGAATAACAGCATCGCAATTTGAGGACTGCGGTACGTGTGTTTATGTTGACTCTGCGACTTCGCCTTGCCGAACCCCGTCGGACATACACAGGAGTTGTGCATCATAATATTATTGTTATTGACTGTCCGACATACGTTTGTGTGCTCCTCCGTGAGAGAATGCTTACATCCGTTGCATGGACATAACGATCTTTTCGAGGAGGCATTTTCTTTTTGCGGCATATTGCTCTTTCTTTCGCTACAATATTGTCTCCTGCTAAAGTGCTTGCAATTGTTATTCCATTTTTGCTTATTCTTTTGTTTCTTATAAAACCTCTCTTTCTTTTCTTGTTGCCTTTTTATTTCGCTAGTAAGAACTTTCCATGAAACTTTTGATATCGCCGCGTAGACAATGAGAGAGGAGATATTTCTCGCGTCGAATATTGATGTTATTTTCGGTATCGCATCCATAGACCAATCGAAGCTTAGTTGAAAGGGGTAAAGAAGGAGAAAAAAATTAAAGACAGGAAGGTATGTGAAGGTATAAAATCTCGTAAAAAAAGGAGAGGTCACGGGCGGTGGGGTTGTCGGCCGCGGCGAATCCCGAGGGAGCTCCGGCGATTCGCAATCTCCAGTATAGTAGTGTGAGCCCACCTGTGCTAAGAGCGCAGATGCTCCGCCACCGATACTGCAACAAAAAGAAAATTTCGTTAGCTTTTCAATAAAGTGTAAATTTAAGACGAGGTGCTTAAGAAATATACTAAAATAAGCACATTATGAGCCAATATTTAAGATTATACCTACTAACTATAATATACAAAGGTTTTAAAATTAATTCAATCAATCAATAAAAAGATCTTATCGTAGTCATCCTAATTAATAGAACTAACGAATTAAAACTTTAAAATGAAAAATAAAATATGTTTATTATGGAACATAAGATACATGTATCACTTATTCCACGTCATTAAATTTCAATTTGTAGGCATCCCTACTCATCGGCAAAGAAGACAGAGGGTGTAGGCCGAGAGAAAAAGCCGGCGTAAAAAACTCTCGGTACTCTTTTAAAATAGCAAATCATCAAACAACACTTATTTTAAAACAAATATCGCAAATTAATTAGAGGTAGCCTGTCTAGCACTAGTCCCAGGCCCTTTTATCAACTAGATAATCGTTGACTTTATAGTAAGCCTTTTTACACAGCTTTTCTTTAATACATTTCTTAAATTTATTGTAAGGCAGAGATAAAAGAGCCTCTGGGATTTTATTAAAGAAGAGTATCCCTTTCCCCAAAAAGTTTTATACATTCACTAACAATCTTTAACAACATCTTCTCAACCTATCCTATGCTAAAACGAAAGTATTCTTGTGCACCAGTAGTTTTATCATAAAATGTAAGTGTTATGTAGAAATTCTTATGTTAAGTACTGTTACCATATCAAATGGAAGAGTCTACCTGCCCACGACACAGGGGATCCTAGCGTGGACTGGTGCACTTTCTTTTTTAACTATATGTCCTTTTGCATTGTGTATAATAGTGTTTTCTTTCTTCTTTTCTCAGAAGGGAAAGAGTATATAGATATAAAAAATACACAGGGACTTCAAGACTATGTCTAATTAGTAATTTGATATCCCTTTACATTCAATACATTCATCGAGCACTATAATAACATGGCTGAAATATGCAATAACTCCACGAAGATCTAGCAAATTATTTTATCATTTATATTTCCGCAGAGACAAATGATGTATCGATTCCATAAATGTTCTCTTTTGTCTGGCAGTGTGTTACTATGAGGGGCTATAAGAAACACCCAAGATTTGAATGGATGAGTAATAGCCTCGGCGTTGTTTCGACGAAATCCCCCCAGCCCCAATAACTTGCTCACTTTGTTTCGATTTACAAGGGAGAGAACATTTAAAATTCTAATATAGAACACCTGAATAAGTATGAATAATTTTATACGATAAGGCTTTTCTTGGCTTGCCGTGATAAATACTTGTTACACTTTGTTTTAGGTAATACACTAGTAATGGAATAAATTATAATATGAAAACTATAGAAGTTCCTTATGTAAAAACAAATTAAAAGTAAGGAAACTAATAATAATTGAATTTCTAACGAATTTAATGGACATGTAGGAATATTTTACATTGAGATGAATTTAATATACAGTAATAAAACATAGGGTTAGATATATACATATTAGTGAAGTGGCTAAACGCATCTGAGTGGCAAAACGCATGCACATAGCGTATGTACTCGGAGTAAAACAATAATTGTTGTTAGACAAATATACCACACAACAGAAAATCAACTAAAATGGGTTATTGATTTAAATGTTTGATACGATAAAAGTATTATAGGAAATAATATCCATAGAAGAGCTACTTCAAAAGCAATTTTTCTCGAATGAAATACCTCAAGAATTTCACGCAGCATTAGCCAATTTCCGTACCATAAACTAAAACTTTGTAACATCTCGATAAAATTGATTTAGGTTAACGTGAATCGTCATTTTAAACAGCGTGAAATTGGCTCTGCAGATTATTATTAATACCAAATTCTAATCTATTTGGGGTATTATGAAAGTTATCCCTTAGGGACAGCGTTCTATTTGTGGGTAGCCGTCACGCGTTCAGGGTACGCTAAGAATTATCACTCTAAGCAAAATATTAAAATTCTGAACAACAATACAAGGTTTCTTAACTGAAGTTTTATCTTGGGACAAACAAATCTTTTTACCATCGGCAGGATGTAAATCACCTTGACTTTTTGGGGTTTCATGTTAGAGCGTTTTTAATACATTTTATACGCATCACCAGCATTTGGAGCTTACTAACGCTGGCCATAGACGGACCGCATGTTGCAGTCGAGACCGACTGCTCTAGAGCGGTCGCCGCACGGCTGGTGATACAAAGTATGAAATATTCCATGCTGTTCTCTGGATTCTAGTATTGGACGCACCCACAAACTACGGTGTCTTCTACGCCTACGCTCGCGTAATAATAGTATAAGTAGCAGTGTTTCTTCATCGAAATCCATCTTGTAAATAACTCGCATCAGTATTATTTTGCGGTCCAACAGAACTGCTCCAAGCAGTCGTAGTCGACTGCATTATGCGGTCGTGTTGCAGTCGTGTACGACTTCAACGCGACCGCTTAGAGCAGTCGGTGTCGACTGCAACATGCGGTCCGTCTATGGCCACACTAAGAGTCGCGGTGTTTCGAAACTGGTATGATGGAGCAAGACGTGTTCCATCTGCTAGGGCCGCAAAGCAAAGCGATGATAAGTCTTTTAATTCGATACAATAATGTTTATAGTACTATTAGCGGACCCAACAGACGTTAAAAATACAAAAAAATACCAACAAAAATGATTGGATGTTTAGTAGTTGAATTTCAAACACAGAAGACAAATAAATTTTTTCATGAACGCCAAAAGTGCTTTAATACAAAAATAACAATAATAAAGATAGTTTGTGTATTGGTTAAGCTTGGTATGAGAAAATGATAATGATAAGTATAATTTTACAGCTTAGTTTTTGGATTTGTGATTAAGGCGTTAAGAAAACGCTGTATGCGTACTCCGTTATTTGCGTAGGGTTATTGAGTTGAAAGTACCGTAGTTGCGGAAGCCCAAAGGAAAAGATTTATGAAGGTAAGTGCGTCGACCCTAGGGTATTGTAGGTTCTGGGTTCAGGCATTGACATGAATTTATTCGAGGTGAGAGGCTTGGATGCCTATTTTATGAGTAAATTAAAATTGTGTGTATAATATGTTTGGAGGAAGGTTTTTTGGGAGATATATAATCCTCTTGTGTACAAGGAAATTAATTATTGATAACTAATCAATTTTGTCTGATTTTTACTTAATGAATGTACATATTTCGGAAACTTGACCTTAAGCTAGCTATGTCAAATAGTTGATTTTTTTTAATAATAAATAAATAGAAATTAAATATTATTTTAAAACTACCCACATATAAAGTTAAATTACGTCAACAGGATATGAATAATTAAAATTATCAGTACAGTTAAAAGTCGTACTGGTAATAGTTTCAAACTAAAACCGTATCATATTACAAACAAGTTATTCCATCTCATAAAGCAATTCTTTCAAGATAAAATATTCAGTTTGTATTCAGTTCATAGTATGTACGAGAAAGTAGGTGCCTTAACATAAGCTGCACTACATTTTCTTGAATATTTGATGATGACGTAGCATTCTCGCTAGGGAAATGTACTTAAAGCACACAAATGATATGTTTATAACTATGAAGGTATTTAGTCATTGTGTAAATTTCCGTCTTTACTTTTCCTATAGTTAACTAGCGGACCCGACAGATGTTGGTCGTGCATGATATTTTAAGCGATTAGGATATTAAACAAACTATGAAAATAACGACTGCAGCGCCATCTGCCGGGCTGATTTGCGAATCTAAACCATCCAGGGCTCCACCCAAACAAACAAAAATCATTAAAATCGGTCCAGCCGTTTAAGAGCAGTTCAGTGACATACACACGTACAGTAGAATTATTTATTTATATATATATATATATATATATATATATATATATATATGTAATCCTGTCTTTTAAGTTAGATCAAACTGCACACGGTGTGCAAATTTTATTGAAATCAGTTAAGTAGTTTATGAGTCCATAGCAAACAACGTGACGCGTAAATTATATATATTAAGATAATCGAGTGATCGGTTGTCTGTGCGTTACCAACTACGGAGTACAAACATCAACACAAGCAGTTTTTAGTAACGAAAGTAATAAATATATAATTGGAAAATATGCATTTTATTAATGGCGCTGTTTATTTACGCTCGTAGACTTGGATTGTATTTACAAACTAAAAAACTTTAAGGTTTGAAAATAGTTAAAATCTGTCAAAACATTCTGCCGTTAAGCATATTTATAATAGCCGGTATAATGATTTTATAAAAATAATAATAATCAGTGGCGCTACAATTTTTTTTAGATCTGGGCCTCAGATTCATGTATCTGTTTCATGATCATTTGATAATCTAATAGGCAAGTAGGTGATCCGCCTCCTGTGCCTGACGCACGCCGTCACCTTTTGGGTCTAAGGCAAGCCGGTTTTCTCACGATGTTTTTCTTCACTCGAGCGAATGTTAAATGCTCACATAGAAAGAAACTCCATTGGTGCACAGCCGGGGATCGAACCTACGACCTCAGGGATGAGATTCGTACGTTGAAGCCACTAGGCTTACACTGCTCTATCTGGTAAAATGATTTATACACGGTTATCGATTAATTGTACACTTATTTAATAATAGTTTTGAAGTTCGACAAACACCTGGAACAAACCGAGCAATTATGTACCAGCTGAGAAATAGGTCAATCATCTAATCCGACTCAGCTGAAGGTTCAAGACTTCTCAACGTCACGACTGTAACGATATATTCCTGAACCAACCAAAATATCATATTCCATATGTAATTATTATTTGACATTTCTAAATAAGTTACGTTCCGTTAAGTTAGAAATACACTCAATGTAGGCGAGAGTTGATTTTGCTCTAAAAGCTTTGATTAAACTGATTGTCACGAATTTATAAAAACAGAGCATACCACTTCATAGATTAATACAATGGCGAATCAGGTATTTCGATAAATATAGGGTATATTAAACTAAATATAAAAACCACCATATTAAAGAAATATAAGGCTATATCCAAAATAGCTAATAGCAACCAAATAAGTTTTGAGGATCCAGTTTATTTTTGCCTGACCCATTTCGTGTTATGAAAAGGCTCCATTTCGTTTTAGTAAAAGTCATCAATCGAATATAGAAATTCGATTCTTATATTTCTAGTTTTTATTTAAACTCAATCGAATGGTAAATTCTATTGAAACCTTTCAATATTAATCGACCATGGTCATTGCAGATGAAAATGACCTATTTTAATCTATGAGTTAAACTTAATGTTGACTCACATTTTTAATTTTTTTGCATCTTTCCATTTAAAAACATGGCTTGCTCTTACATGACTGGGTTGAATTAACTAAAATAACGAAACAATTTTTGAGACTTATTTCGTTCTGAAACTTCGTCCTTTCAGTACGTGAAACAATGTCTATAACATGGCCAATAAATAAATGGTTATTTATACTAATGTGAATCATTCGAAACGTGTTCTTCATTTATTAAATAATTTGCGTATTTCGTTAAATAACTTTGTTAACAATACACAATATTAAACTTTATTTTTAAAATATTTTTGGAAATAAAATTAATTTATGGGCGCTCTGAATAAGATTTTATTAATTATGGTATTTACAGCATCTTGAATTATATCAAATAAATCCAATCGCATCAATTTAATTTTAATTAAACAAATAAAGATTACTCAAAAGTGCTATATCAAAAAGACACGTGACAACTGGAAACTTTTTGCGCAGTTACGATCATTTCTTTTTATTGGCGCGCGGCAGTGACATTTGACGTTTGACGCCATTTTCAGCCAGTTTTACGTTACCACAGACTAGTCAAAACGACGTTTGAATGGATTTGATAAAATAACAAACGTTAATTAAAATGGGCACTGTTGTATTTAAAGTCAATTGTATACGTGTCGTACATACTTTGCTTTGGTACAATTAATATGGAGAGTTTCAAACACTTTTTTTTCAAATATAATATAAAGGGCAAATATTTTAATAAGTTTGAGAACATAAATGCATAGATAAATTCAAACTTTATTTACTTGAAAAGAACATTTACGAGAAGTGAACTAAAAATTCACTGCCGGCATTAATAATCTACGAATTTTGCGCGAATTTTTAACTAAATTACAAATAAATGTCGCCGTCGAGATACCTTACCCATAAAGTTATAAACTCACCGCGTCGAGGGGTTCATTAATTTTAATACACTCATAACTGTGTCATAACAAAAAATGTCACAGAAAAAACCTTTTTAATTTCATCTAGTTAGTACAGATTGCAATAACATTTTCGTCATGAAATGTTAATTATCTACTTGGGCTATTAAATTTCATTAGTGTTTTTCATTAAATCCAAATCAGTTCAAATGTATTATGAAATTAGGTGCTATGAGCTAATACTGTATGAAACTAAATATTTATCAGCTTAGCATTGGAATACTTAATTTAAAATAACACTAGTACCTATAGAATATAAAATAATAATTCAAAATAATAATAATGATTTTAAACTATATATATCTTTAAAACGTTAATTTTTTTACTTATGTTTCAACTACGTACATAGTCAAACACTATATTAAGTAAATAGGAAGATAATTAAATATGAGAAAAAACATTTGTGTTATTGTCAACTGATATAGCCTGTGCATTTTTTTAATATTGCAAATTAAGGCAAATCTATACTACTGTCATAAAACGAATATCTTTCCCGGTTTCGTACTGCAACATACATTTTTTACATATTAAAAAATTGACTGTTACTCGAAGCGTTGGACGGTC